TGTGTGGAAGAAAACTATGTGGTGCACTTAGCTGTGTGCAGAAACAGCAATGTTATGCACAATGAATACGTGCACACGAGTTGTGTCAACATTCTCTTCCCCAAATGTGGCTGCAGAAGAAAGTGTGAAGCATACTGAAATGAGACAATATTTATGGCTGAAGAAATTCGGCTTCACATAACGGTAATTATGAACAAGATATTTTCCTTAATAAAATTACTGCAAAACAAAATCTGGAGGAACTAAGTGTTTCCCTATGTCCTCTATTTTATTCCATGTGCTCAAGAACGGTTGCGGGAAAGAGCGAGCCTAAAGGGAGCAAAGGGAGAAAGAGAGGCATAGCCAGACGGCCTCTGCTGAGGGTTGGTTTTGCTTTAGAAACTGGAATGTGTCCAGGCTTGATTTTTATTTTCAATTCACATTTCAGATCCAGCTCCCCAAACTCTTTGATCTTTCTCCCTGTCTCCTTACCCGGAAGAGAACCCTTGGCCTTCTCAGCTGGGAGCTAGGAGCACACGTGGAAAGACTGGCTCGGATCCATATTCCTGCCAAATTTAGTCACACAAAGGGGCCTGCAAGGGAAAAAAGAAAGGATGAAAGCGGCAGCCGCCAGGACTTCAAAGGCCGCGCCGCCGCGCCGGGCCCTGCGCAGGCGCCGCCCTCCGCAGATATAAGGCGCAACTGGCGCGCGGGCGGCCTCTCTGCGCTGCCGCCCCGCGCGCGTTCCCGGCTGGAGGGTGGGCGGAGGGGTCCCGCGGCGGAGGGAGGAGGGGCGGGACGCCGCGCCCGCGCCACCCGCCGGCAGCCGGAGGCCTGTCCTCAGCCAAGTTAAGGCGCCTGAGAAAAGTTTTCAGAAAGAAGGGGAAAGAATGTCAAGTACCGCACACTGGGCGAGCAGTGCTGCGGGCCCCAATTTATCCAAGCTCCCATAATACCCCATTCTGGGGATCTCTCTTCCAGACGAAATTCCCACTCCTCTGCGCGGGAGCCCGCACCCTGCGGGGCTTCCCGTCGTGGAGCCGGGCAGTGAGGGCGCGTGGCAGGACTCTTCCTGGCCCAAACCGCTCGCTTGAGCCCGCAGCCCCTCATCCCAGTCGGCGACCCCCCCGTTGGACTCCTCTCCCTGTTGGCGGCCTCGGTACTTGAGCTCTTGCCTCCCGGTTAGCAGAGGGGCTGCTGGCCGAGCCCACAGATAGTGGAGTGGGACGTGGCCCTCCGTCATCGGCCATGGGAGGACCTGGCCCCTAGACTAGCGCTCCTGGGGCCCCGACCCAGAGAGACGCGGACGCTGCGCTCGTCCCGCATCCGCACCAGCGCGGGGGTAGAAGCCACCCGAGGGCTGGCGCGGGGGGCGTGGGCTCCGTGGGCGCACCCCGCCGGGCAGCGCTGGCCCCGCGGAAGCCGGGTGTCCGCAGGCGGCCGGATTAGGGAAGGACAGTTTTACGGTCCCACGAGCTCAGTGTTACCCCTGCGGGTGGGGCGTTGAGTTTGTTTGTTTTAGGAGGAGGCAAGGGGAGGCGGAAGAACCCCTGGGACACAAACTGCCATTTCCCTTGCCCTCCCCTCTCCCTTTCCCCTTAGTCCGTTAAACTGAAGATGCACACAGCTCTTCGTCTCTGGTGAGGCCGCAGTGGAAAATCAAGGGTGCCGGAGTTCCGTCTCTGTAATCACATTCTTCGTTTCTCTAGTCCTTCACCCTCGCTTCCCTTCGAGCATCCTCTTCCGCAGGCCCCCGCCACCCCCTTCCTTTGGGATCCCACCAAAGTTGTAGCTGGGAGCGCGTCCAGGCCACACAAAGGGGAAGACCCGGAGCTAGGGAGGAGGGTTAGGACCGAGGGGGCGGAGAGGGCTCTGAAGGGCACCGCGCTTTTTCTCTCCTCCCTGTAATTAAGGACTACTTGAGTGTCTGTAGCTGACTCCACTTGGCAGCAAAATCGCCGGGGGGAGGGGACTCCGGTGTGGGTGTGGGTCATTCTCCCAGCTCCCCTGCAGGCACCCGCGGGGGGCTGTACCCGGTTTGCTCCGTAAGCTGCGGGGCCCGTCTCCGCTCCCCGCGCCTCTGTTCCGGCGCGGGGTGGGCGCCTCGCCCCCCACGCGCAGCCCGGCCAGCGGTGCCCGGCGCAGAAGGAAGTGTTGATATAAAACAAGTCACTGTTCGCTCTCAAACTAAACCCCAACCAACCAAAGCCACCAAGAGGGGAAAAACCAACAGCAATCCAGCCAGCCCCTAGCAATTGTTTCACGGTCGGAATTAAATCACATCAAAACGCCCCCTGAAACCCACATCCTGAAGGAGTGAACCTGCAACAGCCAACCTCCAGTCGTCCGCTCCAGTTCACACGAACAACCCGCCTCTACATCCGAGGGAAGGGGGCGGCGAGCGGCGGAGTTTCTCCCGCGCCGCACCCACCAGGTCCAGGACCACGCACCCTAAGAGGCAGCTGCATATGTTAATAGCAGCCCCCACAGGAGTTAGAGGAGACCTCCAGGCGACAGAAATGCCTTTGCCTGGATCTTCACCGAACCTGTTAGGAGGAATTATGTCTTCCCAGAGTTACTTAGCCTCTCTTGGTTCCCCCCTTTACCCGGAGAGACAGACTTCATGTGGAAATGTCAACCTCCTTCCCAGACAAAGCTTTAAAAAACTTGGGTGAATTGTTTTCTAGTAAAGCTCCTTTAAAGAACATTTACTGCAACGCTAAGGACAGTCAGCCAACACCCCGCACGCCACGGGGAGGAAAAACAATCACGCAAACAGAGCCTGGCGTTGGGGGATTTCGTTGGAAACAATGTTTCCAAAAGAGAGAGTTATGGCCAAGTACTAAAGGCAGACACGTACTCTCGGCCCTTCTAGTAAACAGTTACCACTAGTTATTGTTACAAAAATTCCCATCTCAAGCGCCTGATCTCCAGGACACCTGGAGTTGAGCTCCAAAGGACTCAGGGAGTCCAGATAATTAACATGAAGGAGAAAATGGGATTCGAATGAGTTGCAACACTTAAACGGGGGATGTGGGAGTCCTCATTTAATCTCTGCCTTCCAGAAACTACTTTCTGGCCACGCTGTGTGGTCCCCTCCCCCTCCTTGAGTTTGATGAAGGAACTTCTACTCTGGCTGCCTTGGTGAAACTGCATTTTCCAGTTCTTTTCCTGTCGGTAAATTGGCGCATTTATGGGAGGACTTTTGACTTTGTTTCCCCATATTTCTTTTAGAATAGAGGGTATAAATGTCTAACATAGCTACATGTTCACATCTCTAGGACATTACACTCTCACTGGTGCATAACCTCAAGGAAAATTACATATGGCCACCAACCAAAAAATAAAGTTGATTTCTTTCCAACCTTTACAGTATTGCCTTATAGACACATTGCAGAAGAATATTCTTTTTATTTTTCTTTTCTAAGGCGTAGCACAGTCAGCTACGTAAAGTAGATTTAATGCTTTACTCTTTCTGGCTCCCTTCACCAGCCTCAATCCTCTCAGAAAGAAGTTATGTGTACTACTGGCCATGCTCTATGTGACCCACTGAACTCTTTAAATTATAGTTTTTAAAAATTGCTTCCTAGAAAATTCCCATCTCTAGGAAGTAGTTATCAGTAGGTGAGGTTTGAGATGCTCATTTAGAGCATTGTTAAGGTCTTTACTTATCAGTGTCCAGCAGCATGCAATTCCCTCCTGAGGAAAAGAAGAGGGATCTTTGCTTGACCATGTATCACAGAGCTAAAGTCTGATTCTGTAGTGCTTTCCTTGTTTTCAATTTAAGGGAGATGGAAACACATTTCTTCCTGCCCCTTGTTTACTGTTCTGAGGTTTTACAGATGGCTACTGTATTGGGTATAATAATTTTGCCTGGATTTTTAACTGAAGGGGTTTGAGAGCCAAGGAACAACATGTAATGTGTTTTCAAACTTCAGCTTCACTTATACTGTAACTTTCACAAAACATCTCAAGTCCTGTCCTTGTATAAAATGCATCAAAGAGTCGGTGGAGGCTGGAGAATTTTTGAGGTTGAATTCGGATTTGCATCTTCAAGGGTCTCTTTGAGCAGGCAGGCAGAGGTGCCAAAGACTTCCCGATCCTTTCTCGCTCTACTGGCCTCTCTCTCTTGGGTCCTTCTGCCTTCCCTTCCTTCTCCTTGGGTTGTTTTCATCCTCTATGGGGTTCCCGCACTTTGTGGTGTGTATCTCCAAAAATCCAGGAGAGACCCAGCATACTCTCTACGTACATCGCGTAGTGAGGCTGTAATGGAAGACATCCTGTTTAAAAAACGATCATTAAGATCCTCTTCAGTTTGTTCTTCCTTGTCCTATTATTCTCCGTAAACCCGGAGATTTCATTTTTGCTAGTATGTGCTCCCTTGACCTTCCACATTATATTTAGGAAAGCCGCAACTCTCTTCCTTGTCTCCATTCTCTTATTAGTTGAGCAATGTCTGTTATATTTTCCTTTTCTCTGTCCCGATTCCCGCCTCATCCGCTGGGTCAGAGCATCTATCAATGTGGTGTCGATCACAGCTGCGGCGGCTTCTCTTTCATCTTCCTGCCCCTGCCAGAGCAAGGGCGGTTGAAAGGGAGGCGGAAAGGAGGTGGGGGTGAGACTGGCAGAGGAAGGGGTGGCGGGGGGAGACAAGAGATACTTAGATGATGAAGTTAAACCATTCGGGCAGTTTCTTGTCAATTTCACGCGGGCAAAGCGTGCCTCTCAGTAGGTTACAAGAAGCGCCGGGTCCCTCCTTCCCTCGCCAAATTGCCTGATCCTTTCCTCCTGGAGCGCGCGCTCAAACACACACACGCACACACACACACCCCAAAACTAGGACTCGTCCTACAAGCTCTGGGAAAAGGGGGAAAAAAAAGTCCTCAATCACCACCTCCAATTCGCGGTCCCTCTCCTCCCCCCCAGCGGGCAGCCAAGGAGAGCTGGAGGCGGGGGAAGGGAGGGGGAGGAGAAGCGACGCAAATGGGTAGCTTTTCAGCGCCGGCCAGGCGCGGGAGGAGGAGAAGCGGTGGGGTGGCGCAGCCGCTCACCTGCGGGGCAGGGCGCGGAGGAGGGACCCAGGCTGCGCGCATTTGGGCCGGAGAGCCAGGACGAGCCCGAAGCCCCGCACGCGGCCAAGCTCGGGGCGTCCCCCGCCCCTTGGCCGGGAGAACTCGAGGGGTGCAGCTTTTTGCTTTGACAGAGCGGCCCGGAGGAGGCGTGGAGAGCGGCGAGCGAGACAGCCAGCGAGCCAGGCTGAGAAATTCGAGCCGGGAACAAAGAGGGGTCGGGCTCTGCGTGTGTGTGTCGGCTCCAGCTCCGGGCAGAAGCCTTTGGGTTCGAGGCCCCTGCTGTGACTCTCCGAGACCCCGCCGTGCCCTCCACTGCCGACTCCCTGAGCTCGCCCGCACAAACTTTATTCTTGGCAAACTTCTCTTTCTCTTCCCCTCATCCTCCGCCCCCACCTTCTCCTCCTCCTCCAGCAGATTAGACGCGCCTGGAGAAGGAAAGCCGAAGCGAAAGGGAAGGAAATAAGAAGCTCTAAAGCGGACATCTCCAACTGGGCGTCTCTTTATTTTTATTTTTTTAACCTTCCAGGAAGTGGACATTTCATTATCTTTTGATTCTCCTTGCACCTCTCCGCTGGGGCAAACGGATCCTTTCTCCCCAGCTCTCCTCTTTCCTCGGAAAACCAACTCCAAACTCGGCATCCGGGGAAGCTAGGGTGGAGAGGTTTGCGTAGACACCCGCCCGACGGACCCTGCCCTGGACTTTGGAGAGTTGTGCCTCTTCCAGAGCCGGAGTACTCAGCGCGGGTCTGCTGGAGGCGTGGGGTGGCCGCGGGAGCAGCGGAGCCTAGAACGCGCCACGCCGCGCCGCGCCGCGGTCCCCAGAGGCGCCGGCTGCGTCGGCCCTCGCAGCCCGGTGCCCTTCAGCCTCCGGAGCGGGCACCGTCGTCGGTCTCAGCGGAGCGGGAAGGCGCGGGCGGCAGCCGGTGCTCGGGCGCCGCCGCAGCTGCTCCTCCTGCGGGCCGCCGGCCCCTCGCTCGCTGGCCCCGCTTCCGTCCACACTCTTACCTCTCGCATCCTTCCAATTCTATCCCCTCCCACTTTCGTTGACTCCCTTTCTTCCTGCTGTCGCCTCGGGTGCTCCCCCTGCACAGCGGAGATTACAGAGTGGTCGGGATGCCCCAACTCTCCGGGGCAGGCGGCGGCGGGGGGGACCCGGAACTCTGCGCTACGGACGAGATGATCCCCTTCAAGGACGAGGGCGATCCCCAGAAGGAGAAGATCTTCGCCGAGATCAGTCACCCCGAAGAGGAAGGCGATTTAGCCGACATCAAGTCGTCCTTGGTGAACGAGTCCGAAATCATCCCAGCCAGCAACGGACACGAGGTGAGGGAGCCGCTGCCCTAGCGCCGAGAGGCGTGGCGGGTCCTGGGATAGAGTGGAGAGCGAGGGAGGCAGGGAAGGCGCTGGGCAGCCCTGGCGACCGTCCCTCGTAGGTTCTTCGTTTGCTGAGGTGGTGGACGAGCCTCTGGTCTGCATTCTTCCTTTGTGTGTGTATGCGTGCGCTCCTGTGTCGGATGGAAGGTGGAGGGCTGTGCAGGTAAACTTATTTCAAGTGGAGCCGTTTGGGGTTCGGTGGCTAAACTGTTGGTTTGTGGGAGAAGTTGGCCTTTAACACACAACGTGTGGCCTTCGGACTTTTCATTGGCACTGAAAAGGTGCGATGCTTCAAAGCGATGTCTGAACTGAGTTCTTCCGTAGGACGGAAAACAAAGTGCACCCGCTATCTCGGTAGATATCTCTGCAAAAGTGCGTTAAACCACCAGAGGCACAGGTAGAGAGACGAGCAGAGCCACAGGCGGAGAGGAAGGGGAGGCGGGCGTGGGCCGGGGACAGGAGGGGCCGGCCCAACCGCCGCTGAGCTGGGCTCGCGAGGAGCTGGCGGGCCGAGGGGGCGCGCGCCAGAGGGTCCCTGCGGCAGCCGGAGTCCCAGCCCCGGGCCTACTTCCCCGAGCCACAGGAGCGCTGAACTTTCCGCAATCCCAGTTTTCTCCAACCTCCATCACTTAAAAAAACAAACAAAAACAAAACTTATATTTGGGGTCACTTTGGGCCCCGGATCAGGCCTTAAATCTACACAGAAGACAGGCGAGTCAGAGTGGAGATGCGGCGGAAGCCAGGGCACCCACTCAGGAGAGGGTGGAAAGCACTTTATCAGATCTCCTGGCCGGTGGCTGGCGATAGCGCTGGTAACTCTAGTAGAGTAAATAGAGACACGTGGGTGCCGGCGGGAGAAAGCCGCGAGCAGGGACCCCGCGGAAGGGCTATTTCAGGCGGCGTGAGAGCTCAGATGGGGGGTGGGGTGGGCGGATGGACCCTGACACCCGACACTGCACTGGCCACCCTAGTTCAACAGCTGGGAAACGCTTTGGAGGAAATCCGGTAGAAAAGTTCTGACACTCAGATGATTTCACCAACGATTTTTCCCTCCAAAGAAACTTGGAGGGTATACCCTTTTCCCTTAAATGGCATCCTTCTGCCCCCAGAAAGAAAGCGTGTGGTTTTGGGGGCGGGGGCATTTTGGGTTTTAAACAACGAGTTTAAGAACACCTCAGAGTTACCTTCTTTATCCCAATGGCAGGGGTGAGTACTCATTTTGGGAGGCCGGGGGAACCTGGGTTCTAAGGAGAACATATAAAGGTGTTTTTTTACCTTCTGAATCTTTCATCCCCTTATGCCAATTTGAGAGGGACGTGGTGGTGGAATGTAGGGTGCATCCAACCCCAATTAAATGGTATTGGGGGGCAAATACATGTCCAAAGAACCAAATAACATCCCAGACACTCAGGCTAAACTCTCATATTTGTAGAGGGGCCTCTATTTCTTCCTACCCATTTTGCTGTCCTTCCTTATTCCACAAATAAATTTGCCAGCATTTCACATTTTCTGCATGTTTCTGCTTTGGGAAGTTAGGGCTCTGTCAATGTTTGTCATGGTGGTAAATGGGCATGGGGCAGCCCCAAGAAAGATGGTGAAGGTAATACCACTGATTTGCACGTGGTTGAGCCTGGGTGGATGGTGGTTACCAGAACTGATATTAGCTGGGCTACCTTTTAGATGTCTATAACCAGACTCTCAAATTTTCCTTTCTTTAACCACAGAGTAGTTCACTTTTTCTCTTGCAAGGTTGCACTCAGTCAGCCATGGTAGGTTATAAGGAGTGGAGCCTCCTGCTGAGACTGGCTTGGGACAATGGCCTCAAGCCCCCTTCTGTGAGTGGTTGACTTGTTCTTATTTAAAATGTCATTTTCAGCTGCAAAGTGATATTTCAGCACACTTTTAATCAGCTCTGATTGAAGTGAACAGTGGTTGAAGCTATCAAAACAATCAACCCTTTCCTTGAACTCAAACTCCTATCATATTAGGCATCTGAGCAACAGTGATGGATTTTAGCAAACAGCAGTCGGAACAGCATGTGGGTCTTTCCCAAATTTACTATATTATTATTGTTTTTCCTTTTATTTATGCTTTTTCTAGTTCTGGGTATATACAATGATTCAGAAATACACGTTGGAAAGAAAAAGATTTCCCAATGCTCAACCCTAGCCTTCACCTCTTAGATTAATAAAACAGGTGATTGAGTTGCACCTAAGCTGCCTCCTTTCAGTTACCAGTGGACACACACTTAAATCAGTATTTTCACAAACTCTAAGGTGATTTTCTTTCTTTTGGGGGTGGGGATTCATTCTGTTAGGTGGCCAGACAAGCACAAACCTCGCAGGAGTCCTACCATGACAAGGCCAGAGAACACCCTGATGACGGTAAGACTTAATTCTACTTCTCTCAAGTTTATCATTTAACAAATGCAATTTGTGAATGTAGGTACATTTTGCTAATTTGAGTTCAATAAAACTGGGATCAGATGTGATAAGACTGTGTCCACTATTTTAACAAAATGGAAAGGAAAACCCAGGAAACTTAATGCTTATCTCTAATGTATATTTATGTAATTTTAAAACTGTCTTTGAATGAGGCAAGGGGCTTTGGATTTCATTTGGCTTCCAGATTCTTTGTGGAAGAGGAAATAATGAATTTTCCTCATTTTCCCCTGAAGTTCTAATGTCAGATCTTTAGCATTTTTTTCCTCAATTGCTACAAAGAGTGACAGTCTAAACCAATTTATTTTCCAACATGAATAGTTTCAAATGGATTTTATTTTGTTAAATTGCTGTTTTTATTTACAGTGAGAGGGCAGGCAGAGAAAGCACAGACTAAATATGGTTCAGTAAAGCAGAATATAACTTGTAAAAGTTAAAAACTTTATTCGTAAAATTGGGAACTATGCATATGAAACGAGATACTTCCTCCCCATTTCTGATTCTTGCTCATAACTTTAAAAATTGTATATATTTTTTTAGATTTAAGGAGAACTCCATGTGACTTTAAAAGAATCAAGGACTCTGTAGGGTTTCCTTGTTGGACAGTCGGCTTTTCTGTTTTCCTTTAATAATTTACAATTGGCCTGACCAGAACGAAGTGTTTTTACATACAACATGTCAACCCAGAGAAGAAGGGAAGAGACCTATAATATCAGGCTTCCCTTCTGAGATACAAAGTAGTTACACAGATTAAAGAGAAGAAATGTATATACTGAACACACGCAAATTACTTTGGCAAAATGATGTAAGTGTAGCACATAAAATTAAGTCTCCTGGAGTTAATCCTTCATAAATTTGGGTAGTTGCCCATATACTAGTTACAACTCTCTCCCTCATTAAAAATCTAGAAATATTCTAGAAATCTTGAAGCACAGGTCGGATTTTCAAGTTTGCTATAAGGTGGAGTGTAACTTTTAAGTGTATAAATATATATATGTGTGAGTGACTAGATGGCCTAATATTATTTATATTGCAGCTTTAGGTTTGTGTGTGTTCTTTCATGTGTCTCTTATTTCTCAGTCCAGTTTGTTAGTATTAGAACAAATTAAATTAGATGGAAAACACTTATTTTGTAAAAACACCAGTCAGTAGTGGAAGTAAATTGAACCACATGTTTTTAAAACATCTGGTTCCCTGCTAATTTTATTTAAGAGAATAAATACTGTCAATCTAAAATAGAGCATAATAATTCAGTTACCATACTTTGTAAACAACTCTTTTATGTAAGGTCTGATTTGTCATAGAACTAGTTGATTTTCAGATAAAAAGCAGTGATATAAAAAGGAAGCCAGTGCATCATCCATTGTTCCTTGGATTCTCTCAGGAAAGCATCCAGACGGAGGCCTCTACAACAAGGGACCCTCCTACTCGAGTTATTCCGGGTACATAATGATGCCAAATATGAATAATGACCCATACATGTCAAATGGATCTCTCTCTCCACCCATTCCGAGAACAGTGAGTAACATGCTGATGTTGCAAATTATTTTCAGAAGAGCAAATTAATTTGTATTTTTTAAAAACACATTGGAGATGCTTTCATTATATATGACCAGTCGTTGCTAAATAAGACCTGTTATGAGGAATGGCGGCCTTAGAAGAGCGCTTTGATGTCTTGCATTTGGAATTTTAGCTTCTGGCTTATTGTTTAAGATGAATAAATAACAGATCACCAACTGTCATGAAATCAAGTGGAGTTAAGTCAACAGACTTATAATTTTATGAGTATTATGTTTTCTGTGCTGATGAGAGGAAAAATGGATTTACTCTTTCAGGTAGCTAAGTATTATCTACCTTTCACTGTCTAAGCTATGTAGAATCAGAACTACTTTGGCTCATTGGTAGCTAAACATTCAGAATGTTACTTCAACTTCTACAATGATGTCCTCCTTTTATTGTATTAGCTATTGTTTCTTTAAAATCAGTTGGGATGAGCTATTTTTACTTTATTGTCAATTGTTGGGAAAGTATCACTTGAAGATAACCCTGTGAAAATTGCCCTTTTTATCTTGTGGTTCAGTTCACTTGCAATGTTCCAAAAATGCAGTGACATTAGAACTGCATGCAAATGTATAGCACTGTGAAGAATTCCAGACTTGTTAGTTGACATTATTTTTCTTGCTGGGAATTGGAAACCTCATCTGCATTAAGAGAGTATCTGAAGGGTAACTTGTGTAGCATGTAAACATGAGATGTGCTCCCTGAGAACCTGCCCTACGGCGATGGGGATTGATGTTTACTGTTCCATCAATATATTCACCTTCACTGGGTCTCACTCTCCCACTACCACCTAAAAGTCAATGACAAGCATGTATGTCTGGGTCTTGGAGATCAGAGTTTCAGTCTACCTGGCCCTCTTCAGAGTCAGATTCTGATTGTAAAAAGGAACCTAGGATTTTTGCCTTATTAGCCCAGTACTTCCACTAAGTGAAAAAAAAAAAAAATTAGTCACAGACATCTGGGGAAAGTACTGTCATTAATCCCTCAGTGCACAGAATCTGGGGAGGAGAAGATTCACCACAATAGCAGAGCGGAATAGCTTGTACTCACAGGGTATTTGAGTTTATCTTGATAATCCACAGTACGCAATTGTTGAAATGATGAGTATGTGAAATATAACTGTTATTGGGCACTGTGATGTAGAAGTTATTGTAATTCTTTTTCCAAAAAATTTCAAAAAGATACTTGACCTTTCAAATAGGGAATACTTTTCTTATTTTCATGTTGTGGCTAATATGGTGACCTTGGAGATCTTGTGATGGTGATTATAGGAAATAGCAATTTCACATTTTATTTTAAAAGACTTTTACAATATTTAATGATCCAGAGGCCCATGTAGTAAATATGAATCTCCTACCTAAAACGTGAATGAATAAAAGCGAATATAGTTGAATATTTAGAGACCACCCCAAATAAATGCTTCTCTGAGTTTTAAAATTTGTAAGAGACTTTATATTTGTTGAACTGAACATGTAAACATACCAGATATTTCTTTTATAGTTGGGATATTTTGTTGGTTTTTTTTATGAAGGGGGAATGGAGAGTATGTTTTAGATGAGGAATGATTGAAGATTTCTGTTGATAGGCTTTTTAGAACAACAAATAATCTTTCTGACCAATTTAGATTATACTCTCTGACTTGTTAAACAATAGAAAATAGCCACCAAAATAATCTTACACTTTTCAGCTGTGCACACAGTTAATGATTAATAAGAATTTGTGGGATTTATTCCATAGTTCACCTACTTCTTTCAAAACAATTTTTAAAGTCAATATAATAAGAATCTATTGGTATTTATAGATGATCCCTGCTAATACTGAAAATTAAGCTTCTTTTCCTCTTTCAACCAGCATTTTCTACCTTTAGCATTTCTCTCCAGCTTTTGATTCCCCCTATATTAATCATTTTGAAATTTTGATAGACAGTGGAGGGTATTTCTTGCTAGTGTAGGTATTAAAATTTTGAGGTCAGTAGAATGAACAGCTAGCTATTCATTGTTTAGGAAAGACTTGTGGCCAGAATAAATGTTGGTGAGTGTAGAGTAGAGGAGAGGGGTGTGGTCAGGAAGCAGTTACTTTGCCCTGTTATCTGTTGTTTTTCTTTATTCTTTTACATTTTAGGACATTTATTTTAGGCACATTTTCTTGCAGATATTCTGCAGTTTGCACAATTCCAGAAGCTTTTCAGTTTTAACCACAAGGCTATGTCAAATTTTTTTGTTTAAGGTTCAACCAAAGGGAGTTGCAGTCTTTGGTTTTTAATACCCAACAGCTGTTTTTAATGTGTCTGAGACCCAAAACACTTTAACCGGAAGGCAGCCTCTCTCTCCTTCACCCCTAACCACACACTTCTGCCTTCTTGCTCTTTAACTCTATCCTTAGCAGAAAGAGTGTTTGTGTAACTGACATCCACAGTGATAGGTTTGTAGCTGAGAAGTCAGGGAGCAGGGTGACCGTTTGTGTTTGGGTTTAAAGGTGGGATCAGCCCTGAGGCATACCAGTGAGTGGAATTTGCATTACAAACAACTGCTTGTTTACAGCAGATGCTGCCCACAGGTGTTAGGACTAGAAAAACATCTGGGGGTGGGAGAAGGCCCTGACTGCCCCTTCCCCACACAGAATTTCTATCTGTAGTAACCTGTAGAATACCAGCTACAGCCACTGGCCCCCACAGAAATGTTCCTGCTGGTAGCTTCTGCTAACAATTCTATATATTTTTCCTTGTTTTTAGACAAACACTGACATACGGGAGCATCACACAGCTTTTGACCCGAGTGCAGTATTACCTACTCAGGAGAACCACCTTCTCCAATCCAGGTTTTTTCCTTCAGAAGGAAAATTTTAATGGGATAATTAATTATACATCCTTCCAGAACGGGAATTTTTAGAGGTGTTTCTGTACCACAAATCCTACAAATGGGTGTCTCACAGAATTTTACATAAGAATTCTTCCTTCAGATAAAATGGACCCAAGAAGAAAGGGCCTATAATGATAATGTAATGCATTTGGTGTCCGTGTGAGTTCTTGAAGCACCTTAAACCTTGGCTTGTCTTGACAGAGAGCGAGAAGACTCAGAAGCCTGTTCAATATGTCAGAGCAAAGACCCTGGAGAGTGTTTTAAAAGCACACCCCCAAGCCTTTCTTCCTCCCAGTCTTATTTATGGAAATCTCTGTAGGTCAGTGGTAAAGGTTAATAATAAAAGAGAAAAGTCATATATCACCCCCTCTGCCTGTGTGCCCAGTGCCCGGTAGCAGTGAGCTTGGCTGGCGTGGACACACTGAGAGTTCCCACTGGCCTAGCGCTCTGTGGTTATTCATTTTAGGTGTCAGGCTTCCATTGGCCCCTCACACAACCCAAATGTGTAACACCTTTGAAGAGAAACATCTCGCTTCTCTTCAGCTGCTCAGGAAGGGAAAAGCAGCCAGCTCAGTGCAGGAAACAAAAACGTTGCAGCTGGGTCCTGCCAACCGCAGGAGCACCTGGCCACCACCGCTGTGGACCGGCTGCTCTTTCTGTGATCTTCCCCAGGATGGACTTTTAGGTTGGAAAGGAAGGTGTTTGTTTGCATTTTATCTTTCTTTTCTTATTTTCTATCAGACATTGCTATTAAAATGTTTCAGGGGTTCTTTTTTCATTATTTCAAACAACACTAGTTTGAGTTCTAGTGTATGGTTTTTACCTTAAAGGAATCAACATTAGGATTTCTGATGGACAGACTTATACCTGCTACACTTTTGTCTTAACGCCCCCCCACCGCCCCCATGTTTGTATTTGCTTAGAAATAGCTAACATTTTTGTCATTGCTCACATCTGGAATTAAGGAACTAAGGTGGATATGTCTAATCAGCAAGTTTATACTTAAATCACTGTATACCACATTCCTGTGTAGCTTTGAAGATAATCACGGAAATAATAATTAATTCAAGGGTAGAGGAGACTATCTATGGCTTGTATTTTGAGCAAGATTTTTTTCTCCTTTATTGATTTTAGAGAGAGAGAAAGTGAGAGGAAGAGAGAGACAGAAACATGGATGAGAGAGGACATCGATTGGCCGCCTCTTACATGCCCCCCATGGGGGATCAGGCCCACAACCTGGGCATGTGTCCTGACCGGAAATTGAACCGGCGACCTCTTGGTGCATGGGTCGACCCCCAACCACTGAGCCCCACCAGCTGGACTTGAGCAAGATTTTTAAGGCAGGGTGTTTTTTCATTTTACTACAAGGAGCTACTTAATTTAACTTACTGATAAATTATTTTTAATTTTCTAATCTAAGTTGTATACTTTTTGAAGGTAGGTGTATTAAACTTTCCTCTTTACCTCAAGTGCAGGAGAAGTTAAGTTTTAGAAAGTATGTTCCCACTCAGATGTGAATGTGGATGCCAGAAGGAAACATGGGAAAATTCCTTAGGGTCCCTAGACTCTTCTGTTGGGTTCATTCTTAACTGTACTGCTAAAGTTGAGAAAGAATCACAATAAGAATAATTGGTTGCTCTTGCCATCCCCCCTTCAGATAACTTAGACCAACAGTTTGCTTACTCCAGTGTCCTAAGGCGCCACACTGCATGGCCCCTCAGGGGCTGGTGTCCTACTTGCGTAGCTAGTACCACAAGAGTGTGATTCTTATTCAGATATGTGTGTGTGTTTTTTAATGATCTTAGAAATTTCTTGTTTATTCATAAAGACATGGGAACAACCCAGTCTCACTAAAACGAGGCCATAGAGCCAGCACACAGAAAATCTTGCTCTTTGAAATAGCCCCCTCCCTGTGCCCATACCGGTGTTGGACTTGCTCTCATCAAATCCATTATTTTCATCCAGTCTCTCTTGTGGTCAAGGACTCATGTGTGATTTAACAGGGCGGAGATGGGCCCTCACAAATGGGTCTGTCTGGAATTGAACTTGTAGCCTCACAAGTATTCTCCCACATCAACTGAGAAAATTTTGCAGCTTTTG